TACCCATGTATCCACTTGAACAACATCACCCCTGTTGTAGTAAATTTGTGAATGTCAAAAATCAAAATTTAATAATTAATCTTTTATCATATTTTTATAAAAAAAAGTTACATTACCATGTTGGATAACGATCAACCATTACTTGCATCTTTGTCACAACCCAAAAAAGATTCTTTTTACACATCTCTGGTGTTGAACCAAATCCATCACCCAAGAGTCCTGCAGTCTTTACATGATTAAGAGCTGTTTCCTACAAAACAACAAGAGTTATATAATTAAATTAAATTAAAGATTTGACCTTTATATGAAAAGGTTACAATACCTGAAAATGATTCATAAGTGTTTCTATAGATGCAGTTCGATCAGCTCCGATTTCATATGATCTAATGGAAAAATTTTGTCAAACACAAGACCATCTTGAACAATTCTCCCTAAACCAAAAGGATCAAGATCAGCAAGCATGTCTGGCCTTTTGGTCTTCCATTCTAGCATCATCCATTGTTTCTCTGCAGCTAAAAAGATTGTAGTGATTGCAGCAAGAAGCATGCTCCAATCAGGTAACTGGTTGATGAATGTTCTTGGAGCCTGTGATGTGAGATTATCATCAGTTTTGATGCCATTCATGAGTCGAACTCTGCTCCCATTTACTTCTGTAGGTGCTTGTGCATTAGCTTTCACTTGCATACCATTACTCCCTGAGTTTACAGATTTTGTCTTGATTCCACGTACATCAAGATTATCAGGTACACCTCCAAGCTTTCCAGATGTTTTGGCTCCATTAGGTTGTGGGGAAGAAACAGGAAACAATGATGCAGTTGCAGCTGTAGCAACCATGATTAGAGAATTCAAAAGCTGGATTCGCTTGTATGTTTGTTGTAGTTGGACTTATGTACAATCAAAGCTAACCAAAGGGCAATTGTATATCACTGCATCAGAAGAGAAAAGAGTTATGAGCTATTCATTAAAACGCTTCAATGATAAGCCGAAAGTGTATTGAGATAAAGTGAATTATTTAACTTTGTCTACGTGATAAACCTACTCTTCATAAATGAAAGGCATCCAAAAAAAATTGAAATGACTAACACTTCCTTTAGCTTACGAAAGAGCATCATTTATTGATTACCAGAATACCTACTTTCCCCACCCATAAACTAATGAGACAAAAACCGGTTCCTCTTTACCTTCTTCGAAGTTTCTTCAACTAACACCAACACGGTAGGTTATTAAACAGAAAGAGAAAAACGAGAGGCGAGCAAAATTTCAGGAATCGAGAAAAATTTTAAATAAATTGTATGATTCACATGTCAATTTCAAAGGAACACGACATATTTTACAGCGATAATAACAATAAGATAAGTTAGAACCACGAGAAACCATTTGCGCCAACAGATCTGAAACATTCAAACCACAGAAACCACAACTCGAGTCGCTTTTCATTCAGAATCAAACATCAAATTCATACAAAAACCTCCAGTTCCCCCAAAGTCTACAAATTCAGCAAGTTTCTACTTTCTAGATATAGATTTAGAATAATAAAACACACAGATCAAAACAAGGGAAACGATGGAAGTACAGAGAAATACATGCCAATTGCATACGTACCTTTTCTAAGCTAACAAGGATCGAGAACACGTGTACAATGAACGAATGAGTGAATCAAACATGGAAAACGATGTATGTTTATGCAATCAAAGAGGCGTAGTCATGGTTGTCCGATCTGCAAGCCCTATAGACGAATTTTTTTATAAGAATCGTTAACCTATGTCTGCGATTTCAAAGAATGTCGAATTTTCTTCTCAGAATCTTCAATTTCTTTAGTGTTTTACAACAGGAACAGGAAAGAGAGAGAGGTATATATGGAAGAGGGCCAGCTGTTTTTTTGGTAGTAGGGATTTGGTGCTCCTCAGCTTCCTTCGTATTTATAGTGTCAAGAATCCACGTTGGCTCCCGCTAACTGGCTTCAGCCTGTTTCATTATATAATTGCCAGTCTACTTTCGATATATTTACATTATTGTCCTCTTGAAAAAATATGTAGTGGAAAAAACAAACGAATTAGATTTGAATTATTTAGAATGTTGCTTAAATTATAGATTATGTAAAATAGTTGGTTATACTATTATTGGAATGCCTAATTACATACATGGTCAATGTGGTCCCTCAAATGTTGTAGGGTTTAGTACAAGAGATTGTTTTGCCGCATATATGGTCCTTATTGTAATGTTTTGTTACACTTATGGTCCCTATCTATTTTCTCCAACCAATTGACTCCCCCCAATGGTTGGATTGTCGTTTCCACGTTATATCTCCTTCTTGGTCTACATTTGTCCTTTTACTAAAAAAGGTTCATCAAGAGCTTCGTAGTCATCTTCATCCAAGGCCGATCCAAAGATATAAAGGATTTAGAGCGAAAACAAAAAATAGGTCCCCCAAAGTCTTAAATATAATAAAAACTAGGTGTGAGACCAGTGTACTACACAGGTTTATTAAAAATAAAAGTTTAATATCAATATATAAATATTAAATATTTTTTTAAAAAAATATTTTTACATAAATGCGAACGATTGAATAAATAAGTAGGTAATTCAATATATACTAATAAAGAACTATTGACATGTTTTAAATAATGATGTTGAAAATTAAGGTGTAAACATTAAATATTTTTTAAATTAACTTTCAAAATAAATACAAACGAAATGATGAATAAGTAGTTATTAAATCTATACTAATAAAAAAAATTATTGACATATTATAAATAGTTGTTATGAATCAAAATTTTCAAATACTTCTTTGAAAATGGTGTTCTTTTTTCATTTATTAGTGTAGAGATAGAGATGTATTATACACACATATTTATTTATAAAATTTGAATAAATAATAAATTTGTTAGAATTCAAATTAAAAGTCCAAAAAATTAAAGGTATGTTTTGAATTCAAATATATCATCAAAAACACGATATTAATTGTGTCATTGGAGCATCCATTTGAATTCAAATATATTTATAAATTAATAAACATTTAAATAGAATGAATACTTTACATATATAATAGTAGACTCATTAATTAGTGGAATTGATTATTGATTAATAAAAAAAATAAAGATACCACATAATAACATATGTAATATAAATAATTGTAAAATCTCATATAATTACACGTGGCAAAAGCTTTGAGAAAGTGACAACTGGCAAAAAAAAACTTTTATTTATTAGAGAGGATTAAATCAAAAATAGATACACCGTTATAAAATTTACTATTGAAATTAGAAAGCACAAATATGGTCACAACATTAAAAAACAATTAATTTTAAAAAAAAATCTAGCATTTTTAGATAAATTAATTTTTTCTGTATATAATTACACCATATACTCTATGAATTTTGGGCCCCTTAGAGATATGAGTCATGGGCAACCGGGTTGTCCATCGTCTGGGTCGGGCCTGTGACTTCATCTTGTTGAACTCTAAACCCTTAGTAATAATCATTTTCTCCGAAACAATATAGATGTGAAGTAAATCTATGACATAGACGTTAATCAGTTTTACTATACGTATTCTTTATTTTCACCTATATTATATATATATATATATATATATATATATATTATATATTATATATATAAAGGTTCAAATGAGAACAATTATGAAATAGAGAACACGAGAACAAATCTAGGTCATATTTTTTTTTGGCCGCAAAACCCTCATGCATACCAGCGAGACGGAGGAACTTAATATTCATATAAACCACCACCACCGCAACCAACACAACAACCACTAGGCTACATATTTCTTTTAGCCGCAAAATCCTCCAACATACCGACGCGACGGAGGAATGTACGGGGACGACGGAACAATATATGAATATGTATATTCATATATGAATATCTATGTATATTCATATATGAATAATCACTTGAGAATATGCATATACTTATTCATATATTAATATTATTTGTTCCGTCGTCCCGGTACGTTCCTCCGTCGTACCGGTACGCGAGAGGGTTGTAACACTCTAAATTTTCAAACAAAATTTTCATTTTTAAAAACTCATAAAACACGATCTCATATTTCTCAAACCCCAAATGTATAAGTTGTTCAAACACAAGACAACAAAATGTTTAACAATATCCCAAAATCCTCAAAACATAATCTCAAGTTGGTGTGTACAATCAAGTCGACGCCTTCCCGCGATCCTGAGAGGTACCTGAAACACATTTCACACAACAATGTAAGCATAAAGCTTAGTGAGTTTCCCCAAAATACCACACGCAAATAATTAGCCTCTCATGGCTATATCTCGATAAGGACCCTCCGGTCAATGTGTCTTAGTGAAGACCCTACGGTCTCACAACTTTGGTTGGACCCTCCGGTCCTAACTCAATAAGGCACATAATAATGTACAACATATATCACAAAGACAAATGCATGATATCAAATAACTCAATATAAGAATATAAGACCCTCCGGTCACACAGTATTACCACTAAGGTATGTATAGTGAGAAGACTCACCTCGTACGTAAGCAAGTAGGTCTCGTACTCAACGAACGGTCTAGACTCCGTCTCCAAATGGCAGCTAACACTGAAAGAATACTGGATCTAAGGGCTCCTTCTCGTTCCAACCCTTTTGCTCCTCCAACTCCTTCAAGGAATGCACCAAATCACACACTTTTAGCCCCTCTCTCTCTCTCTCTCACAGATGATACCAACTCGTTTAGGGTTTCTCTCAGGGTGCTAAAGTGATCAGGGAGGCGGAATGAAGGGCTTAAGGTTCTTTAAATAGGGTGAAAACCCTAAAAATTAGGGTTTTCACACTCAGCTCCTACTCGTCGCGTCGGAACCCTCTAACTCGTCGAGTAGACTCTAAAAATCACGCGGCCATTTCAATCTCTACTCGGCGAGTTGGGGCCTCCGAATCGTCGAGTTCCCCTGATAAAATAAATATAATTTAATTAAATATTATACGTGGGGGTCGGGATGTTACAATTCTCTCCCACTAGAATCAGACTTCGCCCTCGAAGTCATCCTCCGGAAACAAATCTGGGTATTGCTCACGCATCTCGGACTCCGGCTCCCAAGTCCACTCGGATTCCTTCCGATGTTGCCACTGAACCTAAACCAAGGGCACCTTTTTATTCCTCAAGACCTTCACATTCTTATCCAAAATCGCCACTGGTTTCTCAATGTAGTTCAGGCGATCATCAACCTGAATGTCCTCTAAAGGGACCACTGTCGTCTCATCTGCTACACACTTCCTCAACTGGGACACATGGAAGGTGTTATGAATCTGGCTCAACTCTTCAGGCAGCTCTAACCGATAAGCTACCTTACCCCACTCGAGCGATCATTCTGAAATGACCGATGTATCTAGGGACCATCTTGCCCCGCTTCCTGAATCGGATCACCCCTTTCCATGGGGATACCTTCAGGAGGACAAGATCGCCGACCTGGAACTCTAGCTCTGAGCATCGTCGATCTGCGTAACTCTTCTGACGACTCTGGGCCGTCAGTAACCTATGTATAACCTGATGGATCTGCTATGTCGTCTTAAGCACTATCTCAGTGCTCCCCATCAACCTCTGCCCTACCTCTCCCCAACAGATGGGAGTCTGACACCTCCTCCCGTATAAAAGCTCAAAGGGAGGCATACCGATACTGGGGTGATGGTTGTTGTTGTATGAAAACTCAGCCAAGGGCAAGTAAGTGTTCCAACTTCCACCGAAGTCCATAACACATGCGCGTAGCATGTCCTCGAGCGCCTGAATCATCCGCTCGCTTTGCCCATCTGTCTGTGGGTGGTAAGCGGTGCTGAAATGCAACCGGGTACCCAACTCCTCCTA